TTACCCTGTCATTGTTATCATAATCATCCCCCACTTACTACAACGTGCTCCCCCCTCCCCCTTCTCTATTCTTCATTCTTCCCCATTCTTCTCTCATCTTCCCCTTCAACAGCATCCAGCAGTCCATTCACTGATTGCATTCATGCCTGCAGATTGCAGAGCAGATTCGCCATGTGATTGATGGGGACAATGACAATCCCCTTCCAGCTGTACTGGAGATCCCCTCCAAGGACCACCCATATGATCCTTCCAAAGACTCTGTTCTCCGCAGAGCCAAGGTGAGCAGTGGCTTGTGCTGTATTTTTGTTGATTTTCATCTGATTATAGGTATTTTACTCCTGTTGGAATCTTCTCATATCATAGTTTTATTAGGTTTAAGTATTTGTTGTGTATATTTTTTTTTCTTCTTTTCTTCCTTGTCTGGATCTTTCATTGTTGATTCTCCCTACAATGGCTGGATACTTGTTGCCTGTTCCAATTTCACAGTCTCTTTTACCATTCAGTTTTGTCTTTGTTAGTTTATTCCTTCCACCAATGACAACTTGACCGTTGTGGAGTAATTTGCTTCTTGTGCCTCTCTTTTTTCTTTTTCTTTTTATTTTGTGACATTGTTAAATGACTAATCAGTGGTTATGAGTATTTGATTCTTTACCTGTCTCACTATTTTTCCTCAGATATATCCATTTATATTTATGCATAAACTTTAGTCCAGTCCTAATGATGATAAAGAATTTACTACAGTTTTATTTTAAGTCATTCCCCTAGTGAACATAGCTTACTGTTTCCGCTCTCTTTTTCAGGGTCTTTTCAGTGCAGATGACATGCGCTAAGGATGCTCTGGACTTTATATCTTGTAGAACATTCCACTTCCTGTTTTTCCTCCTTGATTGAGGATGTTTATATGCACTTTAATGTATAATATGTGAGGAAGAAGCATATTCTTTTGCGAATAGAGTTAGGCTTAAAAATGGTTGTGAGTGACTTAAAGAGCTCAAACACTAATTGTCATTCTTTTTCCCCTGTAATATTTTGTATAGTTACATATATACCATTTTTTCTTTCCATGTGTATGGTGTATGTGGTGATTGTTAAGGAATGTATAAAAGAGTAAATTGGTAATCTGTTCTTTAATAACCCTTAAAAAAAATAAATAAATAAATAAAAATGGTAATTCAGAAGCACAGTAAATTTCTCCTTGTTTATTGGGTACCACTAGATGACTTCACATAAATACACACACTCTGGAGGACAAACAGTAACGAACAATACCACAAAGAGGCATTGCAAGATCTCGAGTCTCAGGCGGTGGATCCAGACTGGAGTGAAGGCAGTCCAGCCAAAACTGAGATTCTCAGAAGACCACCTTGAGATCTCTTCATGACTACAGTTAACTTTTGATTCTGAACACATTATTAAACAAAAAATAAAGTTACTTTACTGAGAAATCAACTCAACAAAGAAGAGAACATATAAATAAATTTACCAAAGAGGAAAAGGGTAGAAAAAATATTTACCGATTTATGAAAAATCCTGAATACTCATTTCATACAAATTAAAATCACATGCAAATTCAAGTATATAATATAAGACAAACATAAGATTATCCAGCAAAAGAACACAAATCACATGTACACAGATGTTTCTTAACAAATTACACTGACAAATTTATTCAGGAGATAGGTAATGGAGAAGTCATTCCATTCAGACATTCTAAAGACCACAATTGAATTTATTCACAACAAGAGTACCATTTACTTCCAAAAGTACAAATTTGGTGCAACCCTATGAGTCCTGAACTAAATTGTCGTACGTACCCAATAACTAACAACTTATTTACACCAATTCTAGGCTCTCACAAATGTACATTATCTTTACAATATCAGATAAAACGCCTACAAAAGCACATCATACAATCAACATTTCCACAGATTATATATGGATGGACCCTTCCTAAAAGCCCAGGTATACACAATCGGTAACCATTTCATGAAAATTATAAAAAGGCATTGAACAGATTAGAATTAACAATTGGGTAGGGTAAAAACTGAATGTGCAAAGGACTGTGAAATCAGTTGGTAACAAATGAATGAAGAAGAAAAGCAAGTGGCCTGAGTTCTAAGCCTATACTAAGGACCACTCAGAGACCGCTTTCAAAACAGGGACCAAAAACATCATACCAGCATGGCTGACTTAGAAATGCATGGCGACATCTGTGCCACTTGAGAATATACAATTAATGAAAGGAGATTTGGAAATGGAATGATTTTGTTTACTAAATAAGAAGGGACTGCTTAAGCAATTTAAATCATCATGGTTTCTCTTTTCTTTCTAATATGAATACACAATAATTTTTAAATGGTAATGTCTAAATTTCTTACCTATTTTCAAATTTTACATTTATGACATTCATATGCCACACCCACTTAGACAACCTGACACATGTAATTCAAAAGCGGCAGTGATCCTGTGTTACTTGGTAATATATACCATATAATACTTT